AGACCTTCCAACACCTTGATCTTGGACTTCCAGCTTCCAGAACTGTGAAAAATAAATTTCTGTTGTTTAAGCCACAGCGCCTGTGGTATTTTGTTATGGTGGCCCCAGCAGACGGATACACTGTGAAAGTTTGAAATTAATTACCTGTATTCTGGAGCTGAAAACCTATCCTTCTCATCACGTTTTTTCTATTTTTAACTAAGTCTTTATATCTAAATCCAGGAAGAAATATGAATTTTAAGGAAGAACTTAATACTAATAATTCATGGGTCACCAAATATGTGCCAGGCACTGTTCTAGGTGCTCCATGGTATGTCAACCTATTCTGCACTGAACAGCTCAGGAAGCAGGACTACAGAGGTTGAGCGATCAGCTCCAGATCGTACAATTAGCAGAGAGGAAAAGACCGCATTTGAATGTACACCTGCCTGAGACAGCAGAGTCGTAGAGAGAGCAAAGGCTCTGGAGCTCCATGGCTCGGTCTGAACCCAGGTTTGCTGCTAAAAGTCAGAGTGTGAACTGTGGAACAGGTCACTTGTCCTCCACGAGCCTCAGTTTCTTCATCTGTAAAACAGCGATAATAACATTTATCTTGTAGGCTTGGCAAAAGGATGAAATGAGAGAACACACAAAATAACAAGAACATAGTATATATTCAAAGCTCCCCTCTTTTTTTTTTTAATTTTTTTTCAACGTTTTTTATTTTATTTTTGGGACAGAGAGAGACAGAGCATGAACGGGGGAGGGGCAGAGAGAGAGGGAGACACAGAATCAGAAGCAGGCTCCAGGCTCCGAGCCATCAGCCCAGAGCCCGACGCGGGGCTCGAACTCATGGACCGCGAGATCGTGACCTGGCTGAAGTCGGACGCTTAACCGACTGCGCCACCCAGGCGCCCCAGCTCCCCTCTTCTAGCTCGTGCAGGCGGAGCCAAAATGAGAAGCCTTGACCCTAATCTTTGCAGAAACTGCCTTATTTCAGCAGTGCTTTTTGGTTTTAGTAAAGAAAAGAATCTACTTCTATATTGATTTATATGTGAGCATTTAAAAATTAATAAGCTGATACCTATCAGGTGACTGATTTGCCTCTCTCTTTAAGCTGGGACTGTGACTAGTTGTATCTTGGGATGTCTGTGTTCACCCCAGGCAGGGGATGTAGGAAAATCAAGTTAAGACTGGCTTGTCTTAACAGGTCAGAACTGAACCAACAAAGACTAGTGTGTGTATGAAAATATATATATATATTTGATTGGGAATTCTGACTTGAATTTAAATCTATTTTTAACTTGTATTTCTTAAATCACGATTTAATCACGGCTAAAACTACTGCTCTGCTGTGATTACCTCGAAATGAAAAGTTTAATTAAAAACCAAAAGGAACACCTGGGTAGCTCAGTCGGTTAAGCGTCCGACTTGGGCTCAGGTCATGATCTCATAGTTCGTGAGTTCAGAACCCTCGTTGGGCTGTGTGCTGACAGCTCAGCCTGGAGCCTGCTTCAGATTCTGTGTCTCCCTCTCTCTGACCCTCCCCCATTCATGCTCTGTCTCTCAAAAAATAAATAAACTTAAAAAAAATATTAAATAAAACATAACCTATAAATAAGAATACTTCACAAAATTATGTGATGGTTTGTTTCAGATTTAACTTAGTTTTACCCAGGAATTATTTTTTTTAAGTGTACAAACTATATTGATGATAAAATTGTATAGCTAATGTAAATGAAACTAAATACTGCTATCACACAGAAGCTGAGAAATATATATTAGAAACCACAGGGCATGTGCTTACTGGGTAAAAAGAAGCTTTTTTTGGTTTTAGAATATACTATATATAATGTCCTATAGACATATTTTTTTAAGTTTATTTGTTTATTTTGAAGGGGGGGTGGAGAAAGTGAGTGGGGGAAGGGCAGAGAGAAAGGGAGAGAGAGAGAGAGAGAGAGGGAGAGAGAGAGAGAACCCCAAGCAGGCTCTGCACCGTCAGCACAGAATCTGATGCAGGGCTCGAACTCACAAACCATGAGCTCGTGAACCAAGCTGAAATCAAGAGTTGGACACTTAACCAACTGAGCCACCTGGGCACCCCTCCTGTAGATAGTTTTGAGTCAAAATGTACACTTAGCATAAAATATCAAAACACTCCGCTTCAAAAATTACCCTACCAATGTACTTTTTTCCATTCTTACGTTTACGTTATACAAAAAGGTAATCATAATATACAGGAAATCTCACCATCTAGTTCAAACTTTCCATCGTCTGTCAAACACATCTCTCATATTTATCTGTACTTTTCTTCACCCCACATGTGCAAGCACACACTTTGGGTGGCCTTGTGCTGGATGCTGGAGATATCCAGAGAAAAGGACCCTGAAAGTGGGTGGGGAAGTATCCTCAGGCAAGCAGACAGAGAATGGCAAAGACCTGGGGCTTGGAAAGTGGAGTAGGTTTGAAATGATTTTGCTTCCTAGACTACAAAGAGGAACTCCAAGAAAGATGTGGGCGTGGAATGCCCCACCTCCTATGCAGTGTCCTAGAGTCTGGATATTTTAAGGACATTAAAAGCGAGAATGTCCAAACGTGACTGGATCTGTATTTTAGAACTTTTACTGGGAAGAGTGTGGAAACTGAATTGGATTTAAGAAATTTGTGGGCAAAGTAATTCAGGATGTTAACAGCTATTGTGATCACAGGAGAAAGTATAAGAAAGTATGTGATCACTGAACAAAGACAGTGACAATGGAAACTGAGAAGAAAGGTAGTTAAAGGTGCTAACTTTGCTCTAGATCCCAGTCCTTCCTATGTGCTATAAACAAACAAAAAACTGTTTCTCACATTTTTTTCTATCTCTTGTATATTATTTATTAACAATCCAGAAGTAACTAGTTAAAACAGATATTTATTGTATTACTGTGTACCAGGCATTAGAATAGTGCTTTATAAGTAATACCTAATTTAATTTTCACCAAAGTCTTATAGGAACTGCTACTTTACTAAGAAAAAGTCTGAGGCACAGAAGGTAAAGCAACGTGCCCACGGTCACCCTGCTGGTCAGTAGCAGAGGCAAGATCCAAACCCATTTTGTCTGAACCCAAAGCTGACGCTCTTATGTCTCACCCACCCACGTCCAGACTGTTTCCGGTTCCTCTTACTCTCATGGACTCCTCACCTCATAAGCTGAATCAGTCCTCCTGTCCCTCCTTAAAGGACAAACTTATTTTCCCTCTAATCTTTCCAACTACTGTCCAATCTATTTCTTTCCATGTAATGTCTTGAACTCCTGCAATACCTATCTTCTTGACAGCCATTTTCTCCTTAAATCTCAGCCCTTTGGTTTCTGTGCCTTGTAAATTTACTCACACTAATTATTGTCTTGAAAAATTCAAAGCATTTCTCCATCCTCCTTTTCATTGTGCTCTTTAGGATACTTTGTATAATTAACTGCTCCTTTCTTCTTGAAGCTCTTTTCCCCCATATGTGCTGGCTCTCCCAACATGGTCCCGTGTCACTGTTGCGGTTCCTTCTCTGTTTCTTTTGTCAGTTCTTTTCTGTTGAAGAACTTGTTCTTCTTCTATCCTCTGTGCATGCTACTTGAGGTTTTTATTTCCTTTTTTTTTTTTTTTGTCCTCTGCTGTTCTCTTTCAGTATGATCCCTCAACTTACTCTTCATATTATGACTCTTTTAATTATTGTGATGGAATGTAAGTCTCTCTCTCCCTTAATTTCTCAATATTTTTTGAAGATCTAATTTCAAACTAACTTGGAGGTCTTTCTTCCGTGGCTTACTGACATGCATTTTACACGGCCTCCCCAGCTTCCCTAAACACCTTCACTGCTGACCGGGTCACCTTCCCCCATATCTCCTGTAAGCAGCAAAGTACACAAAGGATTCATTCTGCTCTTAGTTTAAAACCTTTTTCCTGACTTTCATCTCCCTGGTGCTTAGATTTCTTTGTTCATAAAGACAAATGCCAACCTGGTATTATGCTTACAGGATTAAAACTGAAGGGGCGCCTGGGTGGCTCAGTCATTAAGTGTCCAACTTCAGCTGAGGTCATGATCTCGCAGTTTGTGGGTTTGAGCCCTGCTTCGGGCTCTGTGCTGACAGCTCAGAGCCTGGAACCTGCTTTGGATTCTGTGTCTCCCTCTCTCTCTGTTCCTCCCTGGCTTGTGCTCTGTCTCTTTCTCTCTCTCTCAAAAATAAATAAACATTACAAAAATAATTTTAAATAAAATTGAAACCTGCAGGTGATAACAAGGGGGGGAAAAGTGACTCGTTCAGAAGAGCAGCCATGGCTGAATCCATCTTGGAGACACAGCCGGCACTCAGGCTCCTGAAAGAAAACTTTCTGTCCCATACTTGCAACTCAGAGCCTCCACAGCTAGTATGATTCAACGAGTAAGCATTCCATTGAACCAACAGTTCACCAGGCTAAAAGCGACTCTGGAAGTCCTGGGCAAGTAAATGATTACCATTCTTGTGGAGCCCTCTCAAGATGACACACGGTTGACACTGATCTGAAACAGAAGTGCCAAATCTTAAAGTCCCAGCCTTGAAGTGATATGATTCAGGGGTCTTCGGTCAGAGCGCAGTTCGATTATCTCTAATGTGTGTACAAGACTGTCAACCACACAACTAAGTAAAAAAGAAAGAAAGAAAGAAAGAAAGAAAGAAAGAAAGAAAGAAAGAAAACAATGGTGCTAGTTACCTCTGCACCCCACCCCCATCCGCACCCCAATCGCCATGAGATGGGAATTCAGACATAAACTTGGATTGAGACAAACAGCAACACCCCTAAAATGTCGCTTCGTTTGCTTGTTTTTGCTTCTGATTCTGGGGAGTGGGGGGGGGGGTAGCAAGAGGGGGAGGCCCTGGGGGTTGGGGGGGGACACCAAGTTCCCACCCCCCCCCCTCCTCCGCCCTCCTTTCCCCCCGGGGGGGGGGGTCTTCGGCGCACTGAATGAAGGTAATCTTTTTTAGAAACAACTTCTCTGTTTTCCCTGTCAGCGCCCTGCCAGCTACTCAGCCACAGGCTGAGGGGAGGCTCTGACCCGGGCAGCGAGTCAGGAAGGCAAAGATCGCGAAGCCAGGCGCCCCGGAGCGCTCAGCGCCAGGTGACACAGCCGTGGGCTCCCCGGCGCGGGCTTGACAGTTTCATCCCCGCCCACTCGCAGGAGAGCGCCCCGCCGGGCTGCACGCGCGCGCGCAGGGGGCCATAAAAGCTGCGGCGGCGCGGAGACGCCGAGCTCGCCCACCGCCCGGAGCAGCGGCCGCGTCATGCATGTGAACGGCAAAGTGGCGCTGGTGACCGGCGCGGCGCAGGGCATCGGCAGGGCCTTTGCGGAGGCGCTCCTGCACAAGGGCGCCAAGGTAAGCGTTGGCGCCCGCCCCCCTCCCCCGGGAAACGTGTCTTCCCACCCGGAGACTCGCCCACCGGTCAGAGGACTCCCGGCGAGCTCGGGGCGGGAGGGGGGGGGGGGTTGCTGCGCCCCAGGTTGCCCACCTTTGCCACTTTCAAAAGCTGCTGAGGCCGACGGTCTGCAGCAGACCTCGAAGGCGGTGGGGAGAGACCCCGAATTTTAATTGCAGAGTTTGAGGTCCAAGAAGGGGCAGCGTCCCGGTGTGTATTTACTGTTCGTCCGGCTGTTTCACAAGCTGCGCAGAACCTCGATTCTTCTGCTCTTTATAGGTAGCGCTGGTCGACTGGAACCTTGAAGCAGGTGTAAAGTGTAAAGCTGCCCTGGATGAGCAGTTTGAACCCCAGAAGACTCTGTTCATCCAGTGCGATGTGGCTGACCAGGAACAATTGAGAGGTAAGAGAGGGGAATCAGTCCCATCAGCACGGAACTTGCCTTGAACAAGCAACAACCTGAAGGCAGCCCGGGCCGGAGCGCCAGCTTGGGTGCAGGCATATGCAAGGCTACCTCCTGGAGAGCAGCTATTTAATAAGCTCCAAGGCTACCTCCTGGAGAGCAGCTATTTAATAAGCTCCGAAAGATAGCTTGGACTGTTATGTTTCCTGCCGACATCCCCATAGCCATGAAAACTAAGAGGGGGAAAACCAAGACTGTTTGAGAAATCTTTTATTTTATTTTTTTAATTTTGGCAGCACGTAATGTAATCAAAATTCCTTTGTGTATTCAAAGACCGTGCTGCTACAGGGATTATTAAATGAGTGAAATTGCAGATGGAACTTGGAAAGCTGAAGTAGGCTAAGGGACTGTGGCAAACAACTTCTTCCAGAATGCTGGAAGATGCAGAGTTCAATGACAACCAAATGTGGCAATGTTTCCTTTTAAACATACTAGAACGCAAGATCAAGGATCATCATCGCAGACGTGCTAGATGCAATCAACCAAATGTTCTCTCTGGGTTTTCCCCTATGAAATGGTACTTTAAAAATAATAATAGCTCTACTGCAGTGTTAGAATCACAGAAGAAAAGTTTCTATCAGACTTTCCTCAATGCTTTCCTGTTTCCGTCTACTCCCTTAAAATAGACCCATCTACTTGTGAGAGATCAAGGACAGTATTGGCACGGAGACTAAACAGAATTGGTCATTTGGAGGTTTGGTAGATCTGCATGGAAAATATACATTTTTTTTCTGGAAAAAAAAACCCAGAAAAATAAAATATACATATTTCACAAAGTTTTATTGGAAGACTGAGTAAATGTGGGGCACATCTTTAATGAAAGGGCGAGAAGTTTTCCATAAAAGTCATGCTAGTACTCCTGTTCTTAAAGAACGCTGGATATGTGAATTTCTTTGAAAGTGTTGGGCTATTCTGTAGGAGAGTAAAGATGGAGTGGTACATGAGAAGCGGGTTTTCCCCTACTGTTAAAGGAAATTGTTTTATAGGAAATTATGTGATTAACTCTGAAAATGCTAAGACTTACAGTATGACTTACAAGCTTGAGTAGAAGAGATCTGTGAACACAGTGCTAGTGGAACATATTTTGCAAGAGGGTAAAGTTTTGTTGATTGTGCATGATATTTTGGATCAAGGATGAAGTCGTGCCAGATCCCAACATCCATGCTGATGAAATAGGAAACAGTATAGATCATCTGAAAGCTATTTCTGCCTGAATTTATGTAGTTTCACATGTGACATTTAACCTTAATTGTTTTGCTTCCCAGTATTTAAAATTAGTATCTTGGCTGTAAACACATTCCTTAAGGATTGTGGAGGAAGAAATTCAGATACAGGAGTGACCAGGAGAAAGCATGTTGATCATGAGAAATCCACACATTGTCTGGACATCAGCATTTATTTGCATTTAAGGAAGACATGGCCTTGACTCTTCCAATTTCAGGATTTAATTCTGTCTACGAGTTTTGAAATTGTTTAGGTGGCGGCCGAGGGAGACTTCATTAAAATCATAAAAATACAGAGATGAAAACTGTCTTAGAGATGATCTAGACAGAATTCATTTTGCCAATGAAAAAAATAGTGTGGAGAATTTAGGTAAATTACAGAGTGCCTCAGCTTATAAATGTCAGCATGAGCTTAATCATAAGCCCCGTGAGCCCCAAATTCAGTGGTAGATCAGAAAGAGAATGATGTATTATATACTGATATGGGCAGAGTGTAAGGTATGCAGTAGAGACCAGGATGAGGGAAGAAAAATTAAAGAAGCAGTTAGACTTACATACTTAACAACCTAAATCCTATAAGATGAATGTGGGGTTTTGAATTTCTTTTCCTAACGTTTATTTATTTTTGAGACAGAGAGAGACAGAGCATGAACGGAGGAGGGTCAGAGAGAGGGAGACACAGAATCTGAAACAGGCTCCAGGCTCTGAGCTGTCAGCACAGAGCCCGACGCGGGGCTCGAACTCACAGACCGCGAGATCATGACCTGAGCCGAAATTGGCCGCCCAACAGACTGAGCCACCCAGGCGCCCCGAATGTGGGATTTTGAAGAGTAGAACATGCTTAGGATAGATGCAAAGATAGATAGATAGATAGATAGATAGATAGATAGATAGATAGATAGATATTCCTTAGATGTTTTCTGCTGGAGGACCTTTTCCAGAATCAATTTGACATTTTAAGCAGTTTAAAAATTCCATGAAAAAGTAAACAGCTTTTATTTTGTTGTTTTCTATTCCAGTATGGTAAAGTACTGTAAATAATGGCCTTCATGATATTTTTGGCAATTAGCTTGCATAGTGATTTACCCACTTGGGAACTGATGAGCCCGTGTCCCCCTCAGTATGTCTCGCGGTTGTTAGTAATTCTAGATTTCATTTCAATCAAAATAAAGTTTCTGTGAGTTTACTTGTTTCAAGGAACTCATATACTGACCTCAAGACCAGAGAAGACATTTCTGTCATGTGGAAGAACAACCCCAATTGTTATCTGTAGTCTCAAGTAATAGAACTAGAACCAATGGTAAAAGGCCCAAGGAAACAGTTTAAATCTATAGAAGTATGTCAAAAACTGCTTTGATGATAAAGCCAAGTGTGAACTGGCTAAGGAGGGTTTGCAAGGACTGGATATGTGGTTTGACAATGCCATGAATGACTTTCATGCCTTGGCATCTATGTGGGCTTTTACCCTGGTTGAACATAGCTTTTATACAAACTAGGAATACAAAGCAGCAATAATAGTGAGAAAGAGAAAAGAATGAATGGTACATAATTCAAGTTGCAGTACCCAAATCAACTGAATGAAGTATATACACTTTTACTTCCTGGGCTATTAAAACTCCCTGAAATGGCCATAATGGATCTGAATACACAAGAAGACTTATGTTTAATATTACACTTTATAAAGATAATACGGCTTTTTGAGAAAGGATGTTTGTCATAGTCTGAGCCAGAGAGCTTCAATAATGTCTTAAAGACAGACTGATACTGGCTGCCCAGATGGATTTGTAAGAGCTCTTAGTTTAGGATGCTCAGTTGTCTAAAATTTACTTCATTAAATTAAGAACTTCAGTGTACGTACAGGTCATCTACAGACCTTATTAAAGTTAAGATTCTGATTCAGTAGGTCTGTGGTGGTCACAGATTGTGCATTTATAACAAGTTCCCAGGTAATGCTGATTGATGTTCCTGGCTCACAAACCGTACTTCGAGAAGCAAGGCATTCAGTCACTATCTAAGAGTGTAATTTTCATTATAAGAGTGAATACATGAAAATTGATTTCAGGGCACAGGGTAGGACTGAAATGTATATATGGAAAACAAGAACATTATCTATATAATGTCTTCTTTTTGGGGGGCGCCTGGGTGGCTCAGTCGGTTGAGCATCTGACTTCAGCTCAGGTCACGATCTCGCGGTCCGTGAGTTCGAGCCCCGCGTCGGGCTCTGGGCTGATGGCTCGGAGCCTGGAGCCTGTTTCCGATTCTGTGTCTCCCTCTCTCTCTGCCCCTCCCCCGTTCATGCTCTGTCTCTCTCTGTCTCAAAAATAAATAAATATTAAAAAAAAGTTTATAATGTCTTCTTTTTTTTAATTAGATACTTTCAGAAAAGTTGTAGACCACTTTGGAAGATTGGACATTTTGGTCAATAACGCTGGAGTGAATAATGAGAAAAACTGGGAAAAAACTGTGCAAATTAATTTGGTAAGCTATCTTAGCCACGTTTTTACTGCCTGAACTTATTTTTAAAAAATGATGCTTTTAAAGGAAAAAAAGGTTCTTACATTCATGAAATCAATACAAAAACCTACAACGTAGAAAAAGGGAAGTTACAGAAAGCTAGGAAAAAAAGCATTTCCTTTTACAAATAGGAAGATATTTGAGACTTCTAATTATGCAGATAAATCTGTCTTAAAATCTTCAAAGGAAATATAAGAAAAAAAAAACCCCACATAGTTTATTGCGTAACTTAGTAGTTGGCGAACTATGACCCACAGGCTCACCTAGCCTGTCACCTGTTTTTGTATGACCTGCAAGCTAAAAATGAGTCTTATATTTTTTAATGGTTGAAAAAATGTAAAAAGAAGAATATGAAGTACATAAATATATGAAATTCAGATATCAGTATCTATATAGTTTTATTTGAACACAGCTACAGTCATCCATCTGCATATTGTCTGTGGCTACTTTTTGCTACAACAGCAGAGTTGAACAGTGTGACAATGACCTTGTGGTGCACATTGACTAAACTATTTACTATCTGTCCCATTACAGAAAAAAAATCTGTTAACCGTGGCTTAACTTACTTAAAAACTAAATCATTTTTTAAAATGTTTTATGTTTATTTATTTTTTAAAGACAGAGAGAGAGAGAAAGTGCAAGCGGGGCAGGGGCCCAGAGAGAGGGAGACACAGAATTGGGAGCAGGCTCCAGGCCCTGAGCTGTCAGCACAGAGCTGACGCAGGGCTCGAACCCACAAACTGGGAGACCATGACCTGAGCCGAGGTTGGAGGCCCAACTGACTGAGCCACCAGGGTGCCCCTGAAAACTAAATCTTAATTTAATTCCAGAAATTTAACAGAAAATAAGGCTAAAGGGACTGTGAGACTTTGTAATTATTAAGATTTTTATCTTGAAAGTCGGTATGTGTGTACGTGTGCGTGTAATTTCTACAATGTTTGATGATCGTTTAGGTCTTGCTTAAATTACAAAAATGTCGAATAAAGAAATAAGATTTGTTTTATCCACTGTATTACAAGGTTGTTGGGTATCTCATTTTATAAACACAGTTGACATAAGGTATTGGGATTTAGTAAAACTTAAACCTTAGCCAAACAAGTTGTCGGAGCTAAGCTGTAGGGGGGGTCATCCCGCCCTTGGTAAGGCCATTCGACCAGTTTTGCAAAGCAGGGATGTGTAAAGTACAGAGAGGCCACTAAGTGTGTTTAAGCATACAAGGAGTGGCCCCCTCCTTGATGATACCCTCCCGGGAGATGATAAACACCTTAAAAACAGGAACTGAGTTATGTTTTTGCTTTCTCTCTTTCCTTTCCTTCTTTCTTTCTCAGTAATCAACACAATATCTTGAAGATAGTGCTTAGTCAGTAAATGTTTGACTTGAATCTACATTCCCAGGAGTGATTGCTTAACAGTAGTAACTTGGTGGGAGTAATGAGAATTATACTACCTCACAAAAGAGAGGAATGGGCGAACACTCTGATAAGGATACAGAGTTGCTCCCCAAACTTGACAGATGCCTAAAGTCCTTTAACCAAGAGTGAAAGGTACTGTTTTAAGATACAAACAGGGGTGCCTACGTGGCTCAGTCAGTTGAATGTCAGACTCATGACTTCAGCGTGGGTCATGATCTCATGATCTCAAGATCGAGACCCTCCTCCCCAAGCTGGGTGTGGAGCTTACTTAAGATTCTCTCTCTCTCTCTCTCTCTCTCTCTCTCTCTCTCTCTCTCTCTCCCTCCCCCCC